TAACAAACTTGCTGAATGTAATGGAGGGAGTTGGCTACCTGTGTAACGGTAGAAGACAAGAGACTTCGTAACGGAATGTTTATTTGGAATCTCTATATAGCGAAATTATATACACACCTTATCTCCAAATCGTCATTTGCACGGATATTCCATGTTGTACTACTTCTGCCCTTCCTTCGTATTGTCTTCTTTTCGTATCTCCCATGTTTTGTCGCAACGCTGGTTCATAATTTGCTCTGTTTGACGTCAAATCTATCTTGGTATTTGTCTGTACCGATACACGTCTCTTTACATACTACTGATAAATCTTATCATTGGTACACGCCACACCTGCTTGAATCATTGGGCTACCTGAATTTCCACCCTACACACAATGCGCCATATTTTCTCTAATTCTTATTGTTTTAACCATTCAAAATATGTCCTTGAGAGAGAGAGTCGCAAAATGTAGTCACACACACATTTTTAATTGGCTATCAGACTACACGTGAGCGCATTTCTCTGAGACGAAGAACAAATACCATAAGGATTAAGTTTGTACTTCAAACCGAACGGTATTACGTCACATGATATACTACCATAGATTGCTATTTTACTTGAAGCTCCTAAACGAAGACAAAGTACTATGTAGTAAATTACGCCGAGAATTCCCTCTTACATTATGTTGTAAATACCTTGTCCAGAATAAAGGCATTGTTATTATCATTATTATTAATATTACTGAAACTAGAAAATGGACCTCTGAACAACCTTATCAGTAAGCTCTCATTTTATTGCCGATATATGGATGATACCTTTATTCTTTGTGATAATGGTTCTGATAGGAATACAATAATCACTGAATTCAATGAAGTACATTCGGTTATGAAATTCACATGCGAAGAGGAATCCCAAAACAGAATTAATTGCCTTCCTGGATGTCCTACTTACAAGAAAACCAGACGGTAGCATAAAAAGAAATTTGCATAGAAAAAGCACTTGGACAGGACAATATACACACTTTCACAGCTTCGTTCCTATCAATTACAAAAGAAATTTAGTGAAGACCCTCAGCCACAGAGTTAGAGCTATATGCTCAGAGGAAGTAATTGAAGATGAATTAAGCACTGTATATGACGCTTTGATCGAAAATGGTTATCCTGACAAATTTATCAAGAAACACATGACAAAGAAAGTGGAAAAGGACTACTCACTGTCTGTAAACAAGAAGCCTTTGTATATACGACTACAATTCATGGGCGATATACCAAGCGAGATAATTACGAAGAAATTAAGAAAATCAGTTCAAAGAACTTTTAATGCTGGCGAACTACACGTATTATTCTCTACACGACCGATGGTGCTACCTCGACTGAAAGATGAAGTACCTAGACTAGCCACTTCAAATTGTATCTATCAATTCAACTGCGCTTGTGGAGCGAGTTATATTGGCCGTTGCTCTAGGAACTTGATTTTTCGTGACCTCGAGAACATATCCCACTATGGCTAAGTAAAGGTGTAGTTAAAACCATTAACAGTTCGATATTGGACCATCTGGTGCAAACCGGCCACAAAGCCAGGCAGCATTGAAGAATCCTTCTCTATCATATACCAGGTGCCTAATAAATTGCCAAAATCATCGAATCACCGCATGCTCCAAACAGCAGAGGCTATTGCAATTCGCCTCAAACAACCAGTGCTCTGTGTTCAAAAGAAGCAAGTCCAGCCCCTACTACTGCCCTAGTCGGCCTTCAGTAGAGACTATAAATTCATGAATTTGTAATATTATCTTTCCTAATTTTTCTGACATTCAGCTTATTTTATGTTGATGCTATTGAGCTGTAATCTATCAATATTATTGATTCGATGTTATTTAAACAACATTAATGTTGTTTATAACACTAATTCATTCATTCACTACTATAATTTATATATAATTGTAGAACCTGATGATGAATTTATCGAAAAGAGTACTCTTTTTTTTCTTTTAAAACTATTTGTGCCTACACATAAAATAATGACTGAAATCCCAAAGTTTATGGACATGAAATATATTTCACCGGAGACAAGAATTCAATTCTCCTTCCAAATACAGTCGTAGACGCACACACCCACACACACACACGTGCATTCCATGTCTGCAAAAATTATGCAAGAAGCGATTGCAAGTCACGCGACAAAAGCTGGCCAAGCCAATGTTAAAATTGTAGTGTGTAATATATGTGCTTTCCACATTTTTACTGCTTTATTCTCTCTCTTCAAATACACACCTAGTGTGAAGACAAATCCTCATCAACTGGAAGAATTATTATTTTAGAATTAAAACCAAACTAACACATTCCTAAATATTAATATTATCAGTCAGGTACTTGTCAATCATCATAATAATAAAATAATTAGTCTCCAATGGTTTATATGTTTTAATGAAGCAAAAAATTTATATCCAACTGAGAATATGGTTGGTAGGAAGGAAGGAAAGAAAGGAGCAATAATAATAATCTTATTTTCCAGTTATAATTACAATCAGCAAAATCTACAATTGCTATAAAAAAACAACAATGGGACAACATAAGATTGCATAGGAAAAACTAAACTTATTATCTTTAAAAGCTTAAAAATGTTGTAATGTATTCATCTAAAGCCCAAAAAGAAATAACCATTTTCAAGAAATATGTTTATTGCAGGAGAGAATAAATCTTGCTACCTTCAGCAATATTGTATTTATGATTATTATTCGCTTGAGTTCCGAGTGGAACATACACAGCAGCACTTCAACAACACATATCTACACTTTGTTCAACTTTCTGCTGTCCTCTTCATCTGGGTCCACGACTACTCATAATCTCTCTCATCTCCTCCACATGTCACCCTAGGACCCATGCCCAACTCGTCGCTCCCCACTCAAGCGACGGGCTGCATTGCGCACGATGTTATTCGACGGTCTCCTCGGAGTGTGCCCAACCTAAGTCCATCTTCTACACATTTGTTGAACGATAGGTTCTTGGTTAGTTTGTTCCCATAGTTTCTTGTTTCTAATTCTTTAGCATCGGTGGCTTAGTGGTAGAACACTGGCCAACCGCGAAAGTGGTCCGGGGTTCGATCCCTGGCTGACACATATTTGGTGCACCGAGGGAAATGGCTCTCGAGTGATTGCGCCACAAGATGATACTGCATGCTGGTCTCGTCCGCAAGAGGCAGAGATAGGTGTGTTCGGTTCTCCTGAATACCAATGCCCAATCAATAAGTGCATCATTATGTGAAAAACCTCGCCTAATTTACTAGCTCGCTAGTTTTCTAGCCGGTCTCAAGCCCAGGAAAAGAGGGAGGGTTGGGCTAGCGACCCCGCCCTAGAAAATCAATCAGACTACTACAGAAACTTCAACGCACAAGAAAAATATTAAAAATACAGCAATACTATAAGTGAATCACAAACTGCATTAACCAGTGTATGGTGGAAATCTACTGCAGTCAGAATAAAGAACAAGATTCGGATACTAATCAACAGTCAGTCAGTTCTACTATGTGGTTGAGAGACTTGCACCGCATGTCACCAAAACCATTTCCAATAGGTAACTGAAGACTTTTATCAAACCCTGGTCCCTTCTGTCTGTTTTCGACATAGAACTTTGCACAGATGTGCGGCAGTTCAAGTCGCCACACTCCATGTAGCACACAAAGCAAGAGAAGAAATGCATAACAGAGACAGTAGACAGGGATATGAGACAAAAGGAATAGTAATAACGAGGAACCATATAGTTTCATTGGATATTATAAGTCACAAGGAGTGGATGCATCTGCGCCAGTGAGAACGATTTTGAGCCATATCACCGATCGTTTCCAGCCATTGGTTTTTACCGTCCCGAGGACCCCAACCAGGAAGTCTACACCTTCCTACGTGGTTTAAACTAACTGTTGTGGATTTCATTGACTGGTGCCATGTCCTAACCATCTCAGTCGATGTAATTTCACAGCCTCGTCGATTGATTTCCCCTCCTTACCTAGCACTCGACGCCTAACCTCAATATTGCTCACCTTATTATACCACTTCACACGGGAGATAGAACGCAGGCACCTATGATCGAAGACAGCTAATCTTTTCATGTCTTCCACTCTCAATGGCCAGGTCTCACAGCCAGCTATAAAGGAGAACGCAGTGGACTGATGAGCAGTACACACGCCCTTTGGTCGATAGCCAGCATATCACGTCTACGCGAGAGACGGCGTAAACTGGCATATGCGAAACTAGCCTTCTGTATCCTTACTGAGATTTCGTCAGAGATCAACCCTTTGGGGCTGATGGTACTTCCCAAATAAGTGAAGCGGTCAACGTGCTCTACCACTTCACTTCCTATTTCTAAGCTAGGAGTCAGTGTAGTCCAGTCCTGTAACATCATCTTACATTTGGCGGGAGCGAATCGCATGCCAAACATTCGTAGATTGCAGCTCAAGGTGTTCAGAAGACTCTGCATTTTGTCAGCGTCCTCGCCTAGAAGGACTATATCATCTGCATATTCTAAGTCAACGAGATTATTCCCTGGTAGCAAGTCAATCCCTGAGTCGCTGAAGTGAGTTAGAGTTAAGTCCATTAGTACACCTATGATGAAGTTGAATAGAAATGGGGATAATGGGCATCCTTGACGGACGCCACTAGTCGTCGCCACTTCAGGTGACAACTCGCCGTAAGCCCTCACCTGGCTGGCTGGTAACCTGCTTTATAACAAGGTCTGTAAATTTATTTTTATCGTAAAAAACGACCTGGTACGATTGAGGGTCGCGGTACACTTCGATCTTTCTAGCCTCTAAGGAAAGTAAGTCCTATTCACATATTGCCTTCACGCCACAGAGGAGGTGTTCCTTAACAAGGCGAAACAGTGAATGCTAATGTGTTTCATCATCGTGGCAGAGAAAGCTGCAGCACTGCATTACGCCAGTCCTCACCTAATACTTTCTATACACATACGCTTTGCAATAAATCAAAAAGAAATAAGTCAAAAATAAGAGAGAGAGAGTAACAATCAGAATAAACTTGAAACCTTTATTAAATTGTGTAATAACAAAAGGTGAAAGAATGAATCAAGGTAGCCCTGAGTTTTGTTAATTAAAAACTTGTCAGTCAATGATTTCAATTATTGATTGTAAAGAAAAGTCATGTATGTCCACCACATCACATCAACAACAATCAATCATCAATAAATAACAACTGACTTGATAAAACAAAGATAATACAAAAAAAGAAACACCCCAGAACAGATGGAAATGTGTGCAATGAACTCTTCTTCAGGGGTGTCTGCGTCTACAACTTTGTAAATTTTTAAACAGCATCCAAACGCTTTGTAACAGTACAATCAGGTGAATCAGGATGAAGTAGGCCGGATTTCTCTGCATCCATTGATTTCAGTGCAGATGACTGTTGTTCAGCACGTTTCTTCATTGCATATTGTTCTTGTTCTGTGTAACGCTTTAGCATTGCTTGTAAAATCTCTTGTGTAATCAAACTGCCAGCATTTAAACGCATCATTTGCAGGAGAAAACTACCATCCAATCGAAGAAAAGTCATTTCAAATCGAGCAAGCAATGGATCCATTGATTCTTCATAGACATCTGCAATCTTTAAATAGCGTACCAGAAGTCTTAGACGTGATTGTCGAGCGGCTAGCCGATAAATCCATACACCAATACTGGCAACTTCCAAAGAAGCAATAAATACAAACCAAAACCACAGGAACACGTAGATTTTCTCGTTTAGCATATTCACTGGTAGTGCACACTGGACAGTCACCATAGGTATTGGTGTGCTTGTCAATTTTATCGGTACACGACAGAAACCCACTCTAGGGAAAACACTAGTTTCATTCCAATGTCTACCCATAATCAGATCATTTAAAATTGATATACCGAATAGACGATAATCCCCTTTAATGCCTAGAAATCTTTCCATCAACAAAAGTTGACCGACTGAATTCAACAGGTATAGACATTTGATCAGCATATAATATGTGATCAATGCAGTGCCAAGTCGTTTTCGTGGAAGCATATTTTGAATAGTATGGAAAAATGTTGTCATGACTTTTTCATTTTTCTTATCCCCATCATCTGGTCTACGTAAATCTCGACGAGCAAACAACAGTGTATCCATAACATTTGCTATGAACTGGACACGCGTGGCTCGTTCATTTCCAGACTCTTTTGAAGCAGCTTGAGCTGATTCAACCAGAAAGCCTAAATTAGTTCCAACACGATTAAAGCTGATTGCTTCCCAAATAAGACGAGGTAAGTAGCACAGAATTGCTTGCAATGCCAACACCAATGATACCCATTGATAATAATCTAAAAGATTTTGAAAAAACAAAACAAAAGAGGATGATCAACTTTTAGAAAATCATTATGAATACTTCCCATTCAATGTAACACAGCCGGTCATAAAAATACCACAAAATAGAAAATGAGTGAATACTTGAGAGGAGAAAAAACATGGACAGAATGTACATACAATGTACACAAATAATGGAAATACTAAAGTTTAGTGACCAACAACTTTGGATACAGGCGACAAAAGTCGATATCTGCGTACCTACTATTTCATGCTTGGTATGTGTGTGTGTGTGTGTACAAACTGCTGAATTATTCCCAGTGTGGCGTGTGCTACTGTTAAGAGTTATCAGTAGTATATAAAGAGACGTTCATCGACACACACACACAAATATCAAATACCGCAGAAATAGATTTGACGCCAAACAGAGCAAATCATGAACCAGCGTTGCGAAAATCACAGGAGACACGAAAAGAAGTATCACAACACGGAAGATCTGTGCAGCAAATGACGATTTGGAGATAAAGTGTACATAATTTCGCTACATAGAGATACTAGATTCCAAATAAACATTCCGTCGCCAAGTCTCTTGTCTTCTACCGTTACACCAGTACAGCACAAAAACGAATATTTCTTGTCTTGACTATGTACGTTTACATCATTGGAGAGTACAAAAAATGTTTTATTTATTACATTAAGAACTGGTGAAACAAGCACAAATGATGATGAGTTTGGAGAAAATCAGTCGATGACACACCATGAATTTGCACACGTCCCGTGACATCCGGCTATCAACCAAGGGACGTGTGTACTGCTCAGCAGTTCGCTCCGTCCTTCTCTATGGCTCTGAAACATGGCCATTATGAGTTGAACACATGAAAAGGTTGACTGTTTTTGATCGTAGATGTCTACGATCTCGTTCCCACGTTAGGTGGTATAATAAGGTAAGTATTGTTGACGTCAGGCGTAGAGTGTTGGGCAAAGAGGGAAAATCAATCGAAGAGGCTATAAAGTTACATAGATTAAGATGTCTAGGTCACGTGCTGCGCATCCCTGACCATCGCCTCCCCCAACGGACGGGCATTACTAGCTGATATAGGTGCAGGTTGGAAAAGAGTAAGTGGTAGCCAAGCAAAAACATGGCATCAATTCATGAAATCCCTGACAGTTAAACTGAGTCAGGTAGGGAGATGCAGACTTCCAGGTTGGGGCCCTCGGGACTCTAAGAATCAATGGCTGGAGACAATAGGTGACATGGCTCAAAATCGTTGTCAATGGCTTACGCAGATGTATTCAGTCTCTGTAATCTTTCATATTCCTTTCTACCATTACTCATTCTGTTTCACTCTTATACTTGTCAAAACTCTATTGATTCTCTTCACTCATTTTCTTGTCTACCTTTGTGTGCTATTTGGAACGTGGCAACTAGAACTGCTGCACTTCGGTGCCATGTTCTATGTTGAATCCAGACAGCCTGACAGCACCATTCTAGATATGTGTATCAGACTAGTTGAATTACTACCTACTGCTGTCTGTAATAACGTTTAATGCTAACTGGAATAAAATGAAGGCATAATGTGCTTCAGAGTGGTTAATGCTATGGCTAGCAACGACTAAATCTAGTTTATTCCAGCGGCGAAGAAATCCTCTTGAAAACATTCACACTAATCAGCTGACGTGAAATATTTTGTAAGTTACATGACAGTGCATGTAGATAACAAATTGACGAACAGAATAAAATTAGTGTCTTTCTAGAAGAATATAAGACCCTTAAATATCATCAATAAAGTCTGAAGTTGGCAAGCGGCTGACATTTTGAGCAGACAGGCAATCGGCAGGAAGCCTTGCCTCCAACCATCTAATATCATCACAAACAATGTACACCGTGATGGCGAGCTACCTAGAATGGTGGCCACATTACAACCTGACTGACAGAATTCAGTCTGCACCAAAGAGAGGACTAGACGCATCACACTAGTTACTAGTGTCAAATCAAAATAAAGTACCCTCCGTGACGCACTGACTTCACATTGAAGTTGAAAATCCGCATCTTATTTTTCATGCTGAGTGCTGTTGACCTCCCTACACACACACTTGAGAGTAATGAAAGCTTGCCTTGCTTTCCTGATCCTCGCTTTGATATCCTCGTCAGTTCCGTCTGTAGTTGAAACAATGCTTCCCAGGTAGGTAGAGGAGGTTGCTTCTTTCAGATTTCTCCCATTTATGCTGATTGTTGTTGCTGTTGGCTGTAATTGTGTAACAGTTTTCATTTTACAGAGTTGAGAGGAGAGCAGGATGTATCACACTGTTGAAAACGTCGATACTGGTATTAGTATTCATACTTTATATTAGTCAGTGTACAAGGCGCAACACCAATTTATGCAGAGTTAGTCTTTTATTGGTCTCCGCCATGTATGAAAATGTAGCCTGTTTGGTTTCGATATCCTTAAGACTTCACAAATCGCACATGGGACAGTAGTCATGACTCCAAACTGAATTTGATGTCACCAGTGTATCTACCCCATTACTCTGAGTATTTTCGGAGACTTTTATTCTTAATCATTCTCCTTCAGTAAACTGCTACTTCAAATGTTGTAGTAGAGTAGGTTCTACATTATTTGCCCTATATATCCCTCGTGAATGCTGGGTAAGGATGGAATGAATGTATAGTGTCGGTCAAGGAACGTATGTAGTGCACAGTGGTTCGCTCTGTTTTTCTTTATAGTTGTAAGACATGACCACTGAAAATGGAAAACATCAGAACGTTACGTGTCTTTGACCACAGATGTTCGCGTGTTAAGTGGTATAATATGGTGAGTAATATCGAGGTTAGTCGTAGAGTGCTAGGTAAAGAGGATGGGCCAATCGATGAGGTTGTGAAGGTGAGTCGATTTAGATAGCTAGGACGTGGTTGCGCATTCCCAGCCACCGATTTCCTCGACTAACGCATTGTTAGCTGATACAGGATTGAGTTGGTAAACTTTAAAAGTAATCAAACCAAAACCTAATGTGCGTCGGTGGCTCAGTGGTAGAACGTTCTCCAACCACGCCTCACGTTGTCCGGGGGTCGATCCTTAACCAACTGCTCACTCCAAAACCTCGCTGAGCCAGTAAGTAAGGCTGGTAAAGAGGGAAGGTTGGGTGTGAGGCTAACAACCTCGTCCCGTAAAAAATAATACCCACCGCTGCTGAAACTTCAAAGGTGAAGCTTGAAGCCGCCTTATGTTCCACTCGCAACCTGAAGGAATAAAATAAACCGAAATCTGACATCAGCCCACGAAGTCTTTGACAGTCAGTTTGAGCCATCCACGTAAGGAGATGTAGACTGTCGGATTGGGTTTTTTGGGATGCTAAAAACTAATGATTGGAGACCATTAATGATACGACTCAAAATCATTCTCAGCGTCTTCCAGTCCCCCTTAGATAGACACCTGAATGTTCACCAATCCAGTTGCAAGCACCAGATATTCACATTCATCCTTTCACTTTTGTGAGGATCACTCCCAATGTGGCGTGAAGGAAGTGAGTGAATAGGACTTACCTTTCAGAGGATGAACAATACGTGGCCATGTGAGAGGATTTCGACAGGAAGACCGAAGACTCCACGCCCCCTCCCAACCCTCCAACTATAACAGGTGGTTTACTTTGATCGGGAATAACAACATCAATAAACTAAGGAACAAAGTAAGTTATGAAATGAGACAGCAATTTAAATACTACAGAAAGTGTAAATTGGTGAAACGGCCAAGCTAGGAAGCCCTTGATGGAGAGACCAGGTAAATTACCATATACATACTCTCACTTATCATAAAAATGCAATGCATACTAGTGAACAATAATGTTGGAGACTTTTTCATTATAGTACTGAGTGCTAACATTCCAATGCTCAACATGAGAATAAAAAGCCCCAAGTACAGAAATAATAGACATTATTAAGAAATATAGATGAGTGAGAGGAGGGATTGATTAGGAACAAGAATTTCAAAAAACGTTAGTAGTATGCATCTTACTTGATTCTTTAATTGGATTTATAAACGGAGAAACTGTATTGCAAACTTTAGCCAGATTAATTATGCAAAGTGAACTAATTTATTAGTGAAACTGAACACTTAATTTTAGACGAACACAATTAGTGGCAGTAATATTTTCGAAAGTGGTGATAACGTAATCAATACATAAAATCTAAGCCAAATTTACTTTTACACTGTCGCTTAACCACCAGTTATCAGAAACAGAGAGTGAAATAAAATTTACAGGATCAAAGTTTAATCAAAAAATATCCACTACTTCTTTCTATCTGGACAAATTTTGAATTTTGGGTTATACAATTATTTACAACATTAGTGCATTTGCTGGTTATGTGCACATATTTTGCGATTTTCAAGTTCTCAGTGTGTGTACAATTCAAACACACAGTTCACATATCCGCTAGCTGAACTTTTAATCAGGAGACAAATTTTTTTTTTAAACAAACGATCCCGGACGCAAGATATGAATGTTATGATAGTGCTGAGAGAAAGGAGAAGTATTGGTTCTGTCACTTGTACTACTATTCTTAGTTGTGTCAGGCTAAAATTGTTTCACAATCCACTGTCTTATTTGATGAACGGAACAACCTGTACTGATATGAGTGATTTACTAACCATACTGCTAACTGAAGAAGAAAAGCTCTCAAGTATAAACATCACTTAATATTCGGATAACAATTTAACCATTCGAATTAGACTGCGTCCTACCTGGATAATATATACATGCTTTATTAATGCTACTAACTTCAGAATCCCTCTGAAGTCAAAATACATCTAATCAATCAGAGAATCGATCATAAATAGCACAGAGAGCTGGATAGCTGTTTCTTTCTAGACCAGTACACACTCTTCAACAGTGTACACCAAAGACTTCATCAGCGATCGAAGCTATAACCTTCAGCTTCCTTTGATGTGTCGAAACCTCACAGTAGGTATATATTCTCATCCCAAAACCACTTCCGAAGAGACACAATATACCCAAATGTTAG